CAGCCCAGCCTCCTACACAGAGCACGGGAAATGAGGCCACCTAGAGCCATTCATACGTTGACAATGACGAGGCTGGAGGGAGAGTGCGCTGTGGGGTTTTTAAGTTCACATAATCCAAAGAAAGCTTAAAGCAGTTGCACCTTTCGAAAGGGTAACAATTAGTCTCAAGCTTACTGCTGGTGCAGTGGTGGGGGAGCTGGGCATTAGCAGAAAATACTACTGCAGGTTTGTGTCTTCTCCTCAAAAACTTGGCTAACAACTACATGGTGAGATTCTAGTAACAACAGTGTCTTACATGGAAGAGCAACATGAAAACAAACAGTCAGAAAATACTTCAAAAATTTTAGAAAATTAAAATAACACACAGACTAACAACACAACCTATTAGGTTAGGAAAATTTTGTCACGCTTCAAATATTCAGCGTGAACTTATCTGTAACACTGCTGTTTCAGTATTACACACTGTCCTCCAACTTCCAGCTTACTTCCTTCTGCCTCACAGAGAGGGGCACAGGCACAAATCACAGTAATTTAGTTTGGAAGAGAAATCATTTGGCCCTATCCTTGCTCTGTGCAGGGACACCTGGAGCAGGTTGCCCAGGGCTTTGTCCGGCCGTGTTGTGAGCATCTCCAAGGACGGAGATCCCACAACCTCTCTGAGTAACCTGTTCCAATACTTGACAATCCACTTTCCAGTTAAAAGTCTCTGAAAAACTGCAATATACAGATGACTTGTAGAGACTTGCTAGAGAGGCACAGCTTAATTTCCCAAATTTCTCCATCAGTAGTGGCAATGCTTCACAGCAGCTGAAAGACCGACCTCCCTTCCTTCCTTCTGCGGTTTCTAGCTGTGCCAAGACAAGCCATACTTAAACACCGAAACGCTGACTGCAGAGCGTCCTACTAGTAGCCAAGGTGCGTGAGGCAGGCAGAAGCTGCAAGGGTTGAACAGGGAGCCATAAGGATGAAGGAAGGGAAAGGTAGATTCGGACAAGAGCTTGGAGGAGTGAAGGGACATTGCTGCAAAGGAGCTCCTAAATCCAACAGCTACACTGCAAACTGGAATTCAAAAGGGTTAAAAACGTACAGAAACGTAGGTTGACAAGGTGTTACAACTTGGGCTGGAAACGTTCGTGAAAGAGCCTGAAGATGTTGAACAGAGTGAAGCAGAGAAACAAAAAAAACACAAAACAAAACAAACCATACACACATGAAGATAACTGCAGGACAACCACTTTTCTCCAAGCCTTTAGCATTACAGACATATGTCATTTACAAAGTCTCTACATCATGATTGAACATTACCCCATTACATAAACTTAAAATTTTTAGCATATAGGAAAACCTTTACTTTTTTTGAAATGATAAAGGTAAACTCCATCAAAATGCTCTATACACAATAAAGAGAAAAACTAAATGAATGAAGAAATCTACAGTAGTGAGAAGGGGGAAAAAAATATGTATTTATATATATTTATATACACACACACATATGCATACACATACACACCAGCCTCCATCACTTTCTGAGGTTCTGTATAAGGTAAAATCTTGATGATATTAAAAAGGATCCTTACAAGATATAAAGCATATTTAGACTAAAACTCCAAGTTATTGAACACAAATGAATTTTCTTCTGGTATGTTTTTACTTTATAATTTCAGTTATTATGATAACAGCTAATATTCATGTTGTATAATATTCCAGTACAAATTGTTTCAATTTTGAAGAAGTTTAAATCCACTGAACACCAATGTCACACTTTAAATATAAGGACTTTCTATTTCAATACACTTAATACTTTTTCTTTAAAGTTAAGATTAAATCCAATAAAAACATGCGGAGTGTTGCTTTGCCACAAAATAATCCATCTTTCAACACAGACTTCCTCATAAAATCACTTGCACTTCTTAAGCAGTGGATTTCTATTGGAAAGGTTCAGTATACTTTTAGATATCAGGTCAAAACTCCCCTTCTGCCCCCAAAGAACAGCTGTCACAGCTTTTTGGGTGCACAATTCACATTGTCCTTATACAGAAACACCCAGATTGGGTTATATACCTTTTGGAATAAGTTTGATTAACTAGTTTTAATGTCAACCCTTTTAAATCCTTAAGTTATCTTCTAAAATTCTTGCATATTTTTACATTAGATATCTTCCAAAGAACGACAATCTTTTTCATATAATTACATTTATTGTTTCCTAAATGAAACATATAGCATAACTTATGCCAAACTTTAAAAACTGAAAATATTAAAATGATCTAGTATTTTTTTGTTAGGATGTATAACAGTTACTATGAAATACAATTGATCGGCTGATGTGAAACATTTATCATCATAGCAGTATAACTGATTTAAAAGGTTAAACTGGTCATTTAATTAATAATATTGTTCCAAAAAAATAGTCAGCTAGGAATTCATATAATTTTTAACTCCCTCTACCTCTGTTAGCATTAAATATTTCATTTTAATCAGATTTTTATGAAGCTGCAAAACGTTAACATTTATTTTCACTCAAATGACTGAGAATAAGCCTTAAACAAGAAGCATTACAGGTTTAGGCAATGAACTCACATCTCTGAACAGAGTTATATAAGAAAGCAAATTATCAACAGATAGTTTTACTGATCTCAGTGTAAAATCAATGCGCTACCAAGTTGAAAATTACTGAATTTACAAAAGTGTGCTTGATTTTAAGATATGTATATTGTGTTATATGTGAGGTGCAATGGCAGTACACTGTATCTTACCATTCTGTACTGCCCTGCAAGTTCTTATGGCATCTACAGACAGAGGCGACCAACTGATTTTTCTGCCCCTCACAGAAAGCAGTCATTTCTGTCCTAATTTCTTGTAGGAGGATTAAAAAAAAAAAAAAGGGAGAAACCACTTGTATGAACCAGATCACTTTAGATACCTAAGTTAAACCTTTAATGCCCGCCATCAGAACTGAAGTGGAAAATAATTGTGTGCTATTGATGGAAATTGTAGGAAAAACTGCAAGAAAACCAGTACTTTAGGTTCCAGATGCTTTGAATTTTCTAGGCACATACAAAAATTTGCAGCTTTCAGAACATAAACACCCACAGCGAAAGTATTATTTCAAATGTCCACCTTTGCAATCCACAATATTTTATCTGCCTTTCCTCTCTGGTTACTTACACAATATTACATTGTTAAACCGAATTTAATTTGTGTAACTTTAAATAAGACAACATTATATTG